AGGCATTTTCCCTATTATAACTGCCTTGGCATGTCTGTGATAGTCTAGTTCAGATTTAAAAGTTCAAGAATTACTCAACGCCAAGTCTTGGTGAAGAATCCTCAATGCATGTCACTGTCTGTAAATGTGAAGGCCATTAATGACCCATTGTGGTGACACACAATGGGAGTGAGATGTGGAGGAGCTCTTTAAATGTAACTGATGGCCCCGAGAAGAGCCTCATGTGTGCCTACTCATTTGTCTGGCTTGGGTGGGGCTGCAGACAGGTGGTAAATGGCCAGCAGCATTTGGGATCTTCATCTGTGGTCTCTATTCCTGTCATCTGGCTCCAAGCAGATGACCTTACCTCCTTCTTGAGCTCCCATTCCTCTCTGGTTCCCTCAGCATCTTGGCTGATCCCTTTCAGCATGAGTGGGTACATGGTATGTGGGAGGGAGATGATTTCTGGTGATTGTTGGTTGAGAAGGTGGACAGACTGGACTAAGTTCTGTGAGGTAAAATTGGATTCAGAATAAAGGCAGGGTAGTACAGTTGCTGTCTAGCACACACCCTGTGAATGTATGGCTTTTCTTTCCATTACAGGGAGGGTTGGGGCGTAGCCGTGGGATGCTGCGGAAAGAATCTTCCCTCAGTGGATTAGAAATTTCACCCTTTGAAACCGGTTGGAGCAAGAGTCCTTTTCTGCTCCACTTAATTCTTTTCCTGTGCTTTTTCTATGTCACTTGGTCTTCCCAGTTCTCCCTAGCTCGGGCATTGTCAGAGATTTTCAGGCCCAAATGTGAACCACATGCATAGTGAGGTATTTGCAACCTGCTGGCCATTTGAGCCTCAGCGTCATCACAGCACAGCTTTCTATGGAACCTGTTCACCCAGAAGTGTGCAGCTTTCTGTATGAGGGTGCCTGTCACGACTGTGCTTTCACACAGGCAGAGTGTGGGAACTGGAGATGCAGTTCTAGGCAGCAGGGCTACAGTTTGCACAGGGGGTCTGTGATTGGAGGGGTAGCTCTGGCCTTGGTTGCCAGGGAGGATTGGTCCCCCTCTTGTCTCAGACCTCCTTCTTCCTCTCCTCTATACTCACCCCTAACCCTAGGCTCAGTCCTCAAGATTAATTCCCCTGACAGTGGCTGTGGCTCCATCCCTTTCTTCCTCCTCCTCCTTCTGTCTTCCCTACACACAGGCCTTTGAGTTATGTGCCTCCTCTTCTAATGAGATAAGCAACATCGATCTCATGGGGCTCTGCTCTTCCCTCCATAAGGGCAACCATAGGGTGGAATGTGTTGGTCCTATAAAGGGCCCTGGTGATTGTCACCCTGTCAAGCAGGGTGAAGGAAGGGGTGAGGAGCCCTAGGGGAGTGATTTGGGCCCATTTACATGTTGAGACAAGGTGGATTGAAAGTGAATTGGAAAGAGAAGCATGTGTCCATCCTGATGGCTGAAGAGCCGGGCAGTGGCAAGGACAAGGTTGTCACACAGGCACTGGGTACAAGATTCATCTGTATCATCGAGCTCGCGATGATCAGTACCTGACACCTGTCCAGTCTTTGTGGTTGCAGAGAGATTCCTCTTCAACATCAATTAATTCCCACCATCCTGCCCTGCAGTAGGCATTACCGATGGCCCTGATCTTATAGGCAGGAGGCAGGCTCTGCCAGGGGCTGTGCTGTTTTCTGATGTTCATGTGTGTGAGGTTCTTATACACCACAGGTCTTCTCCAATCTAGAAAGTCAAAGCAGCCTCTCTTCTACATCCACACCGGTGCTAACCTTAGCTCTTCAGGAGAGTGGATGTAAGCTACCAGGAGGGTGCCTTTGGTCCCACCAACCCACAGGGCAGTGACTAGAGCGTAGAGAGCATATAGTATCCAGACATGTGGGGACATTTTCAAATTCTGGCTCCTTAGAGCCTTTGAGAAGCTGGGCAGGATGAGCTTCTCATTTAGCTGTCTTGGTTCAGGTTGGAAACACCAGGGGGCAAAGAGGATGGGGCAAGAATATAACTCGTGGCACAGAGATGGCCACACAGATGTGGGTGGTGTTAGTATTTAGGCATCTGTGCTGACCTGCCCTTGGGATCCTGGCAGGATATGTCCTCAGCTGCAGTCACTAAGACCTGTCTACAGTCACTATGTTCCCTTTTAAAAGGTGGGCCTTGCCCATCTCCTCTCCCTCCCTCCCTCCCTCCCTCCCTCCCTCCCTCCCTCCCTCCCTCTCTCTCTCTCACCACTCTTATCCCCAGGGACCAGTCTCTGCTCCCCCCTTCTCTCTCCTCTTCCAATAAACCTCCCATGTGAGTCCTGTTGTATGGTGTGACTCCTTCCTGCTGTTTCTTTTTAAAATTATAACAGGTGGGCTCATAACTGAGGCCAGAGCTCACCCTCCAGAGTCCTTGGATGGCTTGTTAAACAAGACATTTTCTTTCCTTGTTGTTCTGGGAACTGAACCCAGGGTCCTGCACATGCTAGGTAAGGTCTCTACTACTGAGCCACATTCCCAGCCCTTCTTGAACAGTTTGTATCTCAGTGAATGGGTACCCCGGAGCCAGGACTATCAGGACCAATGGTTCTTTCCTTCTTGCATTTCTGAGTCTTGTTTAGTTCTGGTTGAGTTATTATATGATGATTCCTAGATGTGCCTGCCAAGTATGGTGTGCTAAATATAGGGGACACTAGAGATGGCATGATTCCTGCCATCCCAGCTCTTTCAAAGCCAGCAGGGGAGACACTAGTATGCAGGCAATTAATTATATTACCTTGAGGGAATACAAGGGATTTAGGATCCTACAGGAAAGGCTATTAAACCAGTCTTGGTACATCAGCAACCACAGGCAAGCAGGCCTCCAGATGTTCTCAGTAGGCATTAAAACAACCTACACAGTTCCTTGAAAACAGTGGTTGAACTCTCATAAAGGCCTATCTCCCTTCAGGTTAGAGAGCTGGTGTAGATTTCGGTCTCGAACTTCTGAGTTCTTCAGGTGTAAGGAGTAAGGCTTTCCCCTGCCGCCTGGACCCACCTTGGTGCCATCCCCAATTAACACACAGAGACTCTGTATTTGATATAATGCTTTTGGCTAGATGCTAGTTTCTTATCGGCTAGCTCTGTCTTAAGTATTAACCCATTTCTATTAATCTAAGTATTTCCACGTGGTCTCATCTTACCGGGGAGTAAGGCCGGCATCCTGCTTTCTCCAGACTCTCCATCTTGGCTCCTCTCTTACTACTTCCTCTTTCCTCCTTGTCTCCTAGTCCCGCCTATCTTGCTTTCCTATTGGCCAACAGTGCTTTATTCATTAACCAGTATGAGAAACATATTTACAGAATGACATCTCCCATTATTCAGGTCCTTGCCATTTCAGTGGAGTCACTAGCCTCAAATGAGTGGTGATTCCAGGACTTACTCTGTGATGTGGAGGAGTGGCTTCTAAAATCCTGGGGGACCTCCAGCAGTTTGAATGTCTGGATGGGGCCCAGAGTGAATGCATCCATTCAGGAATGACAAGGCCACAGATAGCATCTCCTTTAAGTGAGTCACTTTGGAAACATGGAGCCATCTCTGGGGATGCTTTCTCTCAGAGGGAGGTCGCAGCTGCCTTGTCTCCATGTTCAGGGAACCCAAGATAACTTATTTAACTCATTTAGCCTCCTTCTATCCATCTGGCACAGGCGGATCCTGAAACATTCCAACCCCAACCTTCAGATTTCCTGAGAATCAATGGGGTGGAGATACAAACCTCCAATGTATTTACCACCCTGGAAAACATGGGAATAGCTGTATCATTAAAACAGTACTTAACATACAAGTTACATGGACATTTTGGGTCCTTTAATGCTGTTATGGTTGCCAGTCAATGGAAGTCATTCTCCCTCTTAACTCTTTTTTGTTGGGGTGGGTGGTGGTGTGTGTATGTGCGTGTGTATGTGTATACATGTGTGCTTACTCATGCATGCATATAGAAGCCAAAGACAGACTTTGGGTATCTTTCTCATTGCTCTTCACCTTATTATTTGAGACAGGGTCACTCAGTGAACCTAGAGCTTTGTGTTTCAGCTCTACTGACTGGCTAGCAAGGCCCTGACATCTCTTCCCCGGTACTTGGGATTACAGGCATGTACCCTCTAGTGCTGGGAACTGAACTCAGGTCCTTGAGCTAGCATAGCAAGTATTCTACCCTCTGAGTCATTTCCCCATCTGCATTACCGTGTATGTGTGCGTGTGCGTGTGCGTGTGCGTGTGTGTGTGCGTGTGCGTATGCGTGTGTGTGTGTGTGTGTGTGTGTGTGTTATATGTGTATGTATGTATATATGTAGGCTGCTTGGCATAGACATGAAGCTGGTGGTGTTACCGGCCAAATGCAGATAGGGACTGCTTTTGGGAGATAGTTCATGCTTGCCCATCCTATAGACTTCTGCCCATTTCTTTGTGTGAGGCCTGGCACGTGTGCTAGGAAGTTTAGGAACAGAGGCTATGCATGCGGGTGTCCAGGGCAGGTCATGCCTCCATGAGTTGCCTATGTCTTCCGGCCTCTGCAATGGCTGGAAGCTGACCGTGGTGAGAGGGTGCTGTAAGTAGGCCCTTGTGATCTTGGGTCTCTGGCATGGTTCTTAGTTGAGGTTCTCAGGTAGGTTCACTGACTTTTGCTGTTCCTCTCTGAAGGGAGCTTGTTTAACTTGGCTCTGGACAGAGGGACAGTCACCGCAGGGCCACTGTCTTGCAAACCTGGTGGCTTACAAGTCTCTGCAAGTCAGATAATACCTTTTTGCTAAAGGTGGTGGCTCCACCTGGCAATGGGCCTGCTGAACATTGTGATGGGATAGACAGAGTCTGGGGTGACAAAGTAGATCACAGCTTGGATCGACTGTGGACCAGCTGAATGACACTAACAAGTTACTTCACCTCCCCGGGCTCTAGTTGTCTCTCACTATGAATGACAGGTCAGGCAGGGAAGTCTGTGATGTCCTTTCTGCTCTATAGCCTTTTATCTTTACATTGTGTCTGTCCACAGGCCTTGCTCCGGGCCAGCTGTACACGTACCCTGCCCGCTGCTGGCGCAAGAAGCGACGATTGCACCCGCCAGAGGACCCGAAGCTGCGGCTCCTGGAAATAAAACCTGGTGAGTGCCCTGTGGGGCTCAGCTGGGCCAGTGGCAGCAGAGGTGAGGAGGCTGGAGCTGCCCATGGCAAGGCTCCTTGCTCTTGTGTCCACAAGGCGAGTTTGTTGGCCCGAGGCTGCAGCTCAGTAGTAGAGAGCTTGCCTAGTATGTGCAAGGCCTGGAGGTCAACCCCTATACTGCAAGAAAAAGTAAAACAAAATAATAATAACAACGCCCCCAACAGAATGAGTTTCTGACAGAAGAATGGGGCCTGTCTGGCTCACAGAGATGTGCATGTGTGTACGCTGTGTAAGTATATCCGCTTGTCCTCCAAACGTCTATGGGCTTTGAGGTCTTGTGCCGTCTCTTCCATCTTGCTGACCCTGAGAAGCAAAGCCAGCAGCGGTAGGAGGCAGACCTTGGTGATTGCCCTACCTTACCAGAACCAATAATGCTCTGGTTCAGGTCTCTTCCTCGTTGCCTCAACAAAGACACCTTGACCTGGTATGTTCTCCCGAAGAGGCAAGGATGTCCTGGGCACTACCTCACACACACCAGTGTGATTTTCTAGGATGAACAGGCTTGCTTGTTAAAGCTAGAACTTTCTTTGGGGGTGTGTGGGAGTCAGGTTGTCAAGTTCCTTCCTGGGGTGCAGGCTTCTTTGCCTTGACCCAGCTGTGACACTTCAGACATGTGGGTGTCTTCACATCCGTGTCTGGGCTGCAACTTGCCATGGTCAGGGCAAAAGTCGCCTCACCCCTGACCTCTGCTCAGTGTGTGGGGTCCTGAGTTCTAATGGAACCCCTTAATGCTGGGATGGTTGCTTCGAACGCCATTGTCAAGGTGACACGTGGAAACAGCAATGAGTAGCCGGCCTTTTAGCCACTTTCCTCAGTGTGATCAGGACTGCGAGGTCAGCACAAGCATTGTCCTCCCAGCCTGCACCAGTCTAGGGATGATGGCAGTTCTTTGGCATTTTTTGTTCTGTGCCCGGATTTTCTTTTTGAATTGCAGTGTGCTTTGGCGCTTTTCCATGTCTCATTTTGATCTAGCCACACTTCAAGAACCTAACAGACACATGTAGCTACTGGAGCTGTGTCTGGCAGTGTGCTTCTAGGACCACACAGAAAATGTGACCCCAAGTAGCTACAGTAGTGGTGGTGGTCACTGAGAGTTTGAGGCTGGCCTGACTTATTTCGTGAGTTCTAGGTCAATCTGAGCTATATGGGATCTTGTCTAAACAAAACAAACAACCCCCCAGCCGGCCAACAACAAAAATTAAAGAATGCACTGGCTGGGGTGGCCCATGCTGTTAATCTCAGCACTCTGGAGGTAGAGACAGGTGGATCTCTGTGAGTTTGAAGCTAGCCTGATCTACATAGCTAGTTCCAGGGCAGCCAAGGCTACACAGTAAGACTGTGTCTAAGAAAGAAGAGGGAAAGCATATGTGTCAGAGGGCGTCATAAAATCAAATACACCAAGCTCAAAGGAATGAAAGGCATCCTTAACCCCAGTTTCTTACTTGATTGCAGTCCAGCCAGGTTAAGAAACTTGCTCCAAGTCACACAGGAATTCCTATGGGCCCAGCAAGGAGTCCAAATCACTTGAGTTCCGGTTCAGGGCCTCTCTGCCACCTCAGCTGCAGAGAGGTCTCTTTAGACATTTACTTTGATTATAAAATGAATAGATGTATTGGAAATTCAAATACACCAAGAGATGGTTGCAATTCCTTCAGTCATAAGTGTCGGAAGCTCAAACCTGACTAAGCCTAAGCCAATAATAGAAAACGGATGTACGGAACAGTAAATCTGGGCACCCGACACTGTTGTGAGAGCTGCATGCCTGGCAGTGTGGACAACATGCTCTTCTCCTCATGGGGAGGCAGTCCCCTTCCCCAGCTGTGGCAGAGAAGCCCTGGGGAAGACTGAAAAGCTGGCTGGGTTTTTGTCTGCTCCACAAATTCTTGTCGTCCAGGGGCCTGAGTCACCACCTCCCTCAGCAGTGGCTTCTGATTAGCATAGTGCTTGGCAAAGCCCTTTCCAAAGCTTTCCCTTTCAGCAGACTGGCCGCTCCTACCTCACACTTGGGCTTAGGGCAGGGTGGAAGGGAACAGGGTTTTAAGTTTGTTTCATAGGTGAGAGCAGCCAGCCTGTGGACAGAGTCAAGGATGTTTTACTGTGAGGACCATGTGTCTGTGAAGCCACTGATCACTGCTCATAGGACTGAAGTTAAAAGTGATTTGGGGGGTGGGGTGGGGCTTGATCTGTCTGTCTGCAGATACTCACATTGGGCATCCTGGCCTCCCAGCATCTGCTGGGAGCAGCTGTGTTTATAGGTGCAGGAGGCCTGCGTCATCCCCCGCCTGCCATGATGGCCGAGGGAGAAGGCAGGGTTGGTGTTTTCAGTAGCAGTGCCCTCCAGTAATAGTGACTGTGGCTCTGCCTCTTGGAAAGACTTGTAGAGTCTGCAAGCAGGAGTTGGAAGTGGCTGTACCAACTTCAGGGAGAAAGGCCCAGACCAACGATGCTCAGCATTCTAGAGCAGGACCTCCTCTGGAGAGAGGAGCCATGGTTCTGTGAGTGTGGGCCCTTAGGTGTATCCTTATTCCCCAAGGGTGCAGTTGTACGGTTTTGGGAGGCCTGTTCTTCCAACCAGGGCTCAGGTGCTGAGGCACAGTAAACAGCCCAGGCCAGGAGTCTGGAACTTTAAAACTATACATACTTCTCAGAGACATTTGTTCCTGCTTTGTGAAGTTATACCTACCCTGAAGCCCATGAAACCAGACACCCAAACCCCCTGCAAGTGGTGAGAAAAGATGCCCAGGAGTGGCCTTGGCTCGGGGATCAATGGCCTTAGCCTGGCAACTGGAAATGGCCAGGATGAAATGCCATCAAAGGAGCATGCCACAATCTTCCTGGAGAGACTTAGGCTGGCATTGGAAATGTGTGTGTGTGTGTGTGTGTGTGTGAGTATATATGTGAGTGTTAGTGTGTGGGTTCATGTATACCAAAGCCAGAGGTCAATCTTGAGTGTCTTCCTCAGGAACCATCCACCCTGTTTCATTAGACAGGATCTCTCATTAGTCTGGAGCTTGCTGATTCAGCTGATCTGGCTGCCCAGTGAACCCCAAGAATTCTCTTTCTGCCTCCCCAGTGGTGGAATTAGAGGGACAAGCAATCATGCCTAGCTTTTAGAGCTTATTTATTTTCAAATGTAAATTCTGGGGATTGAACTCAGGTCCTCATGCTTGTATGCAAGCGCTTTACTGACTGAGCTAACTCCCCATTCTAACACTTGGGTTTTCCAAAAGAGCCAAAGTTTCAGGGACATCCCTTCAACACAGGCATTGGTGAGCACATAGGCATCTTGGGGTGACAAGGTGACATTGTCATGGTCTGGATTCCCACAAAAGGGTGCCATCTCTGATGGGTGGAAGAATGCAGCCCCTCCAGTGCCTCAGGGGAGGTGCAGCTGGCTTCCCTCTTAGAGCATCTACTCTCATCATTTATATGATGCAGTCCCTCTCTAAGGGACTTCTTCCCTTTCCTAGGGTATGGTCTCTATAAACAGGTTGATCTGCACAATATTTTTTTAAATGGTCATTTCTTGGTTTTATTCTACTTGATTGGGGTTCCAAGAGAGCTCAGTGTTTTGATTGCTACTGTTGAGTGTGACTCAGAGGAGAGTCACTGATGGGGTCTCTGGAGAACTTGCTATAAGTTCCTATTGGGTCAGCTGTGTGTGTGTGTTTGTATACATATGTGTGCATGTAGATATGTGTGTGTGTTTAAGTGCATATGTACTTGTGTGTATGTCTGTCTCTGGATATACATGTGTGTGTTTATAAGTGTGTGTGTACATGTGTGTATGTGTGTCTCTCTATATGTATAAGTGTGTGATGTGTCTCTGTATATGTATGTGTGTGTACATGTATGTATGTGTTATCTGTATATATGTGTGTATAAATGTGTATATGTGCATGTGTGCTTGAGGCAGTGAGGGAAACAGAGAGGAAGAAGGCAGGATATGGTCCTCTGCCTGTGACAGTGGAGGGAAGTCTTAGTAGTGTCTTCAGTGTTTAAAAAGTACTGGTTCCGAGCTGGGAAGATGATGCCGTAAAGCGCTTTCCATGCACGCTCCTCTAACCTCAGTGCTAGGGAGGCAGCAGAGTCAGGAGGGCCAATAGGCCTTGCTGCCCCATGGTAAGTGAGAACCTGTCTCAAAAAGGTGGCTGCAAGGTGGTTCAGCAGGAGAAGGTGCTTGTTGTCAAGCCTGATGACCTGAGTTTGGTTCCCAGAACCCACATAGTAAAAGGAGAGAACATACTCCCGCAGGTTGTCTTCTGACCTTGCATGTGTGTGCACCCCCCCCTCCACAAACCCACACGAGAAAGCAAAGAAAAATGGAGGTGGAGAGTAGCTGAGGGAGAAAGCAATGTACTTCTGGCCTCCATACACATGTGCACAGGTATGCAATGTGCATTGACATACATGTGCATATATACACACAAATATGTATGTGAATATACACACGAACACATGCCCATGTATATACAAAGCACAAATCCATTGGGCTGGACATTCTATTGCTAGTGATATATCATGCATAGTGTCTTAGTTACTGTTCTTGCCATGACCGAGGCAACTCTTACAAAAGAAGACATTTAATTGGGGGCTTGTTTACAGTTTTAGAGGGTTAGTCCATGATCATCATGGTGTGAAACAGGCATGGCATTAGAGCTTTATCTCCTGATCCATAGGCAGCAAGGGGAGAGAGAGAGAGAGAGAGAGAGAGAGAGAGAGAGAGAGAGAGAGAGAGAGAGAGAGGAGAGAGAGAGAGACTGAGCTGGTATGGGCTCAGTGGCATACCTCCAACAATGACACACCTCCTCATCATTTCCAAAACGTTCTATTTACAAAGAATTCAAGCATAAGAGACTATGAGAGTCATTCTTATTCCAAGTACCACACACAGTACGTGTTGTTTAATTTTAGGTACATATTATCTAAACTATAAACATA